GCACAGTGTTGCACAGTGGTTGGGAATACCTATTCTTAGATTGCTTGGAAAATGTGATCCCAGTGTTTCTTAAGTAATCTTGGATGAGTCAGTTTCTATGTCTGTACTATGTTTTTTCTTCTGTAGTATTATCATAAGGAAAACCACTTGAATTCCATGTTTCTACATCAGCTCTTCAATGGTACAAGCTGTGAATCTGTAACCAACAACTACTGCTTTTGCTCTCCTACCTCACAGCCAGCTTTTTGGCTCAATGTGGTGAGTGCTTTTCATTAGCTTCATTCATGAGTGCTCATCCTTAAATTACTACCGTAGAATTGCTTTGACATGATATGATACCTGCATTGGCAAGTGATAAGGTGTGCCTTGTGCCTCTCTGCCTCAGGATCAAATAATATGCCAAACAAAAATGATTGACACATAGCATTCATGAGAAGACATGGTGTTATATTGTTTTGCAACTCAAAGTTAATTTAGCATTATTGCACTATTCTGGCAGAGGAAGAAAACAAGATGAGGAAATCAAATCAAATGTTCTAAGTCAAGACTTCCTAATCTGAACTCTAACTTTCATGCTTGACACCCAAAAGGGGTACTGTCCCACATAGGCTAGCAATCAAATGGACTCAAGGGAGGGGTAATGTGACTTTGTGTTCATACCTTCCCTTATTCGCGATGTGCTATTGATAACCATATCATTTACATTTTTACTGTCACTTTACACTGATGACACTCTGTAGATGTTGAATCATTCCCTGGTACAAATCGCACCTACTTTGTCTATTAACCGATGTCTATCATGGAGTTCTATCTGGAAGGGTCTCTGACGGCCTCTGTGTTCCAGCAGAAAACACCCTTTCTGCTAGACTCTGCTTCAAATCTAGAAAGCCGTTTGTGATATTGTGTACCATTCTGGCCCAAAAATAGAAGCGAAGGGTTGACATCTAAGGGGTTTGTGTGGAAAGCAGTTTGTCACTGTTAAATGGAAGCTCATTTCCACCATTCATATTTTGGTTCCATGTCTATATTATAAATAAGCAGAAAGATGCTTTTTCTAACAAAAAATGTTTCATGTCAAATTCTTCCAGCCGCATTTGGGAATGTCATTGAATAAAATAATAGTAGGCTTCCAAGCTAAGAGTAATTATGTTGCATTGCTCTTTTTTGGCAGGCAGCTATTTTTCCTTGTAAATGAGGCACTTTAGCACAAGCTCACGTTCTCACTGAGAAGTGGAGGAGGGTTTGGTACAGATGTCGTTCAGCTAGGTACAAGAACATATTCTTCCCACATCCGTTTAATGTAACAAAGTGATCAATTGTCTCATTAATCAATCCCTTGCTTTGGTGATGATCTCTGTAGCAGATAGCAGTTGGCATTAAAAGAAAAAAAAACAGGCTTAAAGTGGGGCCAATTCTTGATGCCTGAACATTGCACAATATTTTTATGCAGAAAATACATTAATATATTCTTACTGGCATATTCTATAAGTAAAATTTTGAGAAAACCTATTTTCTTCATGCCATTTTTAGAGATGTAAATAGTTCATCTTTTTGAGCATAAGCTACCATTAAAGATGCCCTAACTTCATTTTGCATTTTTTGATAACAGAAGCATATGATGGCATCATGTATTTTATGGAATTTAAGTTAGACAATCTGAGAGTCAAGAAAAATTGGTGTTGTAAACTGATATCTTTGTAATGCTTAAGCTATGCCTAGAAATATCTAATATCTATAGATGAGGGAATTGAGTATTTTCAATATTTATTTCCAATATGTAAATCTTTTGAAAGCTACATGCAGGAGGAAATTCATAGATTCTCTTCTATGAAGACTTCCTGCAGCTAGCCCACACTGACAGTTCCTGAAGCCTGCTACATGTCAAACAGTCTCACTTGTCTCTCATCAAACACTGAGGTAGTGACATCATGCTTCCTGAAGATGAAGAGACCAAGAAATCCATGATTTTCTAAGAGTCACATTATTGAGGGTACCAGGTAGATGTATTTGTTGCTATTAAGATTGTACATTTAAGTCCCTTGTGATGTGTGTCTCTCTGCATTCTAATGAGTAAATAACATCCCGTGCCAGTGCTGACATGTATGAAAAAGGTGAAAAACATTTAAATATTGTCTTTGCAAAGAAGATGCTAGTTTGCTGCTCCTTGATGATTATTTAACCACAAATAGAATAGCAGAGTAATTCTTGACAAGAATGTACACAGAGCATAGTATTTAAAGCATAGTTGTATATTGTTGCAAAAATGACACGTCAAAAAAAGGCAGTCTCCAATGTCAGACATAACTCATTCAGGAAACATTGGGCTTAACACCCCACACTCAGTATTTAGCTCCATTAAGGGAGACTGAGTCTCAGGAAAGGTGTTCCTTGCTACAAGAACATTTCCAGTTCTTCTGTGGGAGGAAGACAAATTCTCATTCAGAGTTTTCTCTACAGTGCCCTTTCCTGATTCCTAGCACATCATCAGTTACCAGATTCAAAGACAATTTTTACACTTTGAATTGTGGTAAAATTCTGAAGCACAATTTTGTAAAAGTCTTCTTTGGAGATTCTGGGCAAAACTGTTAATCCTTTATGAACCACAGTGAGTGCTGAAATGACACTGAAGGCTGGAACTGGTGGTGAAAGCTAGCCAGCAACCCAAATGCTGTTGACTTCACACCTGCCATTTCATCTTGTGGGTAATTTCTTACATTATTGACAGTTGGTAGAAACTGGAGGTAAGTACTCTCTATGGTGCAGACAGAAATGGCCTCTGACTAAGGAAGGACCCTCACAGAGTTTATTATTTTATAGGTGTCTAGAGATCTTTCAGTGATCAGTGTTATAAAAAGTAATGCTCTACAAAAATTCCATTGTAAGGGCTGGAGTGCCTCCCTCTGGCCAGGGAGGCTATGGAAGGCCTCACAACAACATAGGCCAATGTCACTCCCAATTGGATTGCCCACCACAACCAGTTAGCAAGACCCTGGCCCTGAAGATGTCATGTGCTGTAGATGCAGAACATGGACTAATCCAAGCTCTAACTGACCAAATAATGACTCTTCCTCTCTGCTGTCATGTCCTCATGGGGCCAAGAGTTGACATGCAAGTTGCTATGGAAAACTATCAACTGCTACTGAGTGATGGACCTGTGTGTAAAGTACCAATGTGTCAGGAAGAATCAGTCCACCGGTGAGATAATAAAAAGTCTATTATGAGGACAATCAACTGTTTTCTGATGAGATTCGAGGCTCCATCCATAGGAAGGAATTTCCATTTGGTACTGTGACATGGGAAAGTCAAAGGGGCAACTGGCTAAGTTATGATAGTTTTGCAAAACAGATATAGTGTGGCTAACAGTTATGTTTATGTCATAGAATAGTGCTGCTTTCAGCTTTGGTCAGAGACACTTTTCATTTATTTATTTATTTATTTATTTATTTATTTATTTATTTATTTATTGGTAGCAGTCAGCATTGACTGCAGACACGTAACTGTTCGAAGCACAGATAGTTAATAACTGCAAACTCTGCAAACATAAAAAAGACATCATGGAATCAAGGCCAGAAAGAACACCAGAACCAGAGCTAGGGAGAGAGTAGTGTCGAACACTGACGTCAGTGAAGACATGGTCTTTAAAGTCTTGAATCCACAGCAGCCATGATTGCCTGCATAAGATCTGATCGTCAACATCTGGTTAGGGAAGAGAGATGGATTCATGGGACCCCTACACACACTCCCTGAGGATTTATACATAGATACTGACAGGGAGGGAGAGACATTTTCTTCAGTGGTGTAGCCACTGACAAAGGGGTGCATGCTCCTTTAAACAGCTCGATGAAGCATCACGGTTCACATACACACAATGAATGAAGTAGAAGGGAGGCTGTCTGGAAAAACAAAAAGAACTAGTAAAGTGAGACAGGAGATGGGAGAGGGCAGTGGTGGTTAATGTAATTAAAACACACCAGGCACATGCATGAGAAAGTCATAATGAAAAACATCATTAACTATAAATATCTGCTGAGAAGAGCATTTCGAAAGATTCATACTGGGGGCTACTGTCTGACGTTTTTTCATATCCCGAGAAGAGGAAATAGAAGATGTACTAGAATCTTCGACAGAATTAATCTCATGAGTCTGTGTAGGTGCATATCCTCAGCTATGTTCAGCTGTATGATACCAAGGCAAACTCATGCCAATACCTGATTGCTTTCTTGTTGATTCCACGAGCTGAAATCTCGATTGGAATTCATTTTTCTATTTAAATGCAGATGTGACTTGCCACCTGAAGGGGAAAGAATCATTTTTTGAATGAAATACTAAGGGCTGGATCATTTACATGAATACTCCTTCCCCACAAGGGAGGCCTTTCCTGTGCTATCTTGAATGTTCTTTGCAATAATTTTATAACCTTTTCCTGTTTGTTTCATTATTATACATTAGAACCGTATGGAGACAAATACAAATCAAGCTTTCAGTGAGTGACAGAAAGATGTAAGAGAGTTTTAAATTAGAGGGGGTAAAACAGCACCAACCAGCAAAGACTAAACTGGAAAGAGGCATGGTGACATATTGTCAGAAAAGAATATGCCGAGCATCCTACATCTTTCCTCTCTGATTCCTTTTTTATTCTTTAAAATTTCAATCCCACAAAGAGTGTTTTAAAATATAGAGCTTTGGGCTATACACATTCCTCTCATATATACCCAAAAGGCTTCTATACCCTCTGCATTGTGGGTATTTATAACATAACAAATCAGAATGGGCATAAATCACCGCTAAAGAGTAGTGCAGACTCCTATTAGGTGATTCTATTGTTCCTTGATCATTAGCCAATGATAGCTCCACTTCGGAAGAAATGCATGGCATTTTCAACATGTTCAAATGCTAAGAAAATCTATCATATTAGATATATGTGTGTTGAATTAAATATAAATATATAATAGCCACATGGCTTAGATAATACACATGAACAAAATTTAAAGTTAGGAAATAGCATTCACCTCAGACCTTTAATAGAAAATACCACAAATTTATTTAAAATGTATCTTCTCCCTCAGAGGAACTCCATTTGAAATTATCCCCTATCATTTATGATAAATAACACATCAATACTGAGACTTAAACATTTGTGCTCCTTTGTCAAACAAACAAAAACAAAGCCAATATAAACACACAAAGAAGACATGTTTCCTATGCCACATCATTGAGACCTTGAGGCTAAGTAGCCAATCTCTGAATCTCATTGTGATGGTACTGTGTTCCCCAAAATATTGTTCACCCTAATAAACTTACCTAGGGTCAGAGACAGGACAGCCACTAGATACAGAGGCTAGAAAATGGTGGCACTCACACCTTTAATCCTAGGATTCCAGAGGCAGAAATCCATGTGTTCAAGGATACAGACAGGCATGGTGACTCATCACGCCTTTAATCCCAGAAAGCAAGCCTTTAATCCCAGGGAGTGGTGGTAGAAAGCAGAAAGGTATATAAGGCATGAGGACCAGAAACTAGAAGTATTTTGGCCTGGTTAAGCATTTGGCTGGTTAAGCTTTCAGACTTCTAGCAGCAATTCAGCTGAGACTCATTCTGGATGAGGACTCAGAAGCCTCCAGTCTGAGGAAACAAGACCAGCTGAGGATCCGACAAGATGAGGTAGCTGTGGCTTGTTCTGGCTCTCTGATTTTCCAGTGTTCACCCCAATAACTGGCCTCAGGTTTGATTTTATTAATAAGAACTTTTAAGATTCATGCTACATCTCATGGCCTTACAATTGAGTGGAGAAGCAAATATTCAGAGTGTTTTATAAACTTTAATTTGGAACATGTAAATCTGAAGCAGTCTAACCCTGGTTTCTCTGATGTTTCTTGTTGTTTTTTTTTGGGGGGGGATTTTTTTTCCTGATAGTTCCTTCTTAACCTCCCTAGAGACCTGAATTCTTTTGTTAGTATTCATACCATCCAAAATCTTGCCAGCAGTCACACCATCCTGTCCCCAGTGGTATATCCCTCATCTGTCATCTATCAGGGATTATCACACTTCAACATGTTAGAACTGTGCAGGTCTAATTTGGGATGACATCAGATTTAGCAAGCAGCCTGGCTCCAGAGACTTCTAAGTAATTCCAGGTAATCTTAACATGGGTCATCTGGAATCTAACTTCAGGAAATATTCACATGAGAGCCATGATGAGTCACTATTTCTTGCTAAGATCAGCTCTTCTGAGACTCAGTGGCATTTAATCAACAACCTAGTGAAAATGACTCTAGGTTGCATCAAATACTCTGTGTTTCCCACATCTCAAGCACGGGTCCTTGACACCCCAAGTGAGTCACACTCAAGGTGGTACCTTTGATTTTCCCCTGAGTTTATTCCTTTTGTCTGTTCAGATACCAGATCCTCAAACACCAGCTGACATTTGGCTCCTCTCCTCTTACCCCCCTTTTACTCACCTCACTTCCACTTCTCACCACACAGTCTTCAGGTCTTACTTTCTGTCTACATATTGATTCAAGAATTTGCTCTGATCCACTCTGTAATCTGAGTAGCATTAGTATAACCCTATCCCACAGGAAAAATTGTAGCATCCTCACTGTGGTTATGACTCCACCCTGTCATGGTGCCCTCCCTATGCTTCTGCAAATGTGGTGTAGCCATCAAAATTCATTGAGAGTAAAAGAAGGGATGCCAGGGCAAATGTGTCCTACAAGGAGACACTGGGTTCATGGACCCTCCTTTCTCTTTGCTTTTTGGTTTCCAGTTGGTAGGTTTCTTCCACCGCCTTAATGGGCCAAGAAGCACTGCCTGACTCAAAGTCACCAGAGACCACCCATCATGGATCAATCCCTCTGAAAGTGTGAGCCCCAAAATATTTCTACCCTTTGAGCTGATTTCCTCGGGTGTTTTTCTGCTGTGGTGGAAAGCTGACAGAGACAAGAGAAGACATCACGTGTTGTTCACACACTAACACAGTTGGAGCTGGTACTCTGATCTCTTCCTACTCATTTATCTCATTTGCCAAAACATTGGGTGCAAACTTCTCTGCATTTCTTTTCTGTCCTGTCTCCATTCTCACGGCTGAGAACACCTGGTTTCTTCATATCTTCCCCTGTCAAGGTGAATAGTGCTTTGATTTCTTCTTTGTCTGTTTATGTCCTATAAGACAAACTTCCATCAGTTTCTAGCTACCATTACCTCTGCTGCTTGGAGTTCTGTATTGCCATTTTCCTCTTCCACTAGACTTCTGTTCTTTTAACTCATCTGTTTAAGGATGGATGACTAAGTTCATAACACTGACCTTGCTGTGCCAATCACATATGCCCCTGGCCTTCTACAATCCCTCTTGACCTTACGTTTTTCCATTCTTCACCAGGATGTCATATAAACTTTGTATTTACTACCTTCCTTCAGCTTTGCTAACTGGTCACTTTCCCCTCCTTGGATATTCTACATATTCAATAAACTGCATCTGTTTGTAAACAATAAATCCATGATTTTTTTAAGCATATAGCATCACTTTGAATTTATCAAAATCATTGTGATGTGCACACACATGCTGTTTCCCTTCTTTACAATAGGAGCTGTCTCAGGCACCAAATGTATGAGTGAAAATTGGAAACACATTTACTTAGATCTCTCCTGTCTCACTTTCACCATTCTATTTAATAAATGTTTACCCCCAAATTACCAACACTCCCCAGGTTTCTACAGTAAAGAGTTCTGCTTGTGCATCATAAACCTTCAGCAGCATCCAGCAGAGCAGTCAACACTCTGTAGGAAAGTGACCAGTGAACAATCTTGCTCACCTCTCTTGAGAAATGAGTATGAGTATCCCCAGGACAGCTGTCCATCAGTGTCCATTGGTGGCTGTGGGAAATTATTCCAGAGTTTTCCTGCCACCTCTGCACATCTTCCTGTGCACTTAAAGTCACAGTTAAACCACATAGAGTACCTAATACACTGTTGAGGCTAAGCACAGAGTTGTTACACTGTATTGTTTAGGGAATAATGATGGAAACTGTGTACACACGCTCTGCACACTCACAGTTATCAAAAGTGTGTTTGATCTGCACCAGGTTGGACCCACAGATGCACATTCCATGGACAGATGATGACTGTGTTCATCACATAAATCTGTATAGAACCTCTGAATGTCCTGAGACTTTCTATCCAGTTGGCCTTCTCTGGGTTATTACACGTGGTTCTATAGGACTAGGGGACACTTATCCTACTGGAGGACAAAGGTGTATTTTAGTTAAGCATTTTTTCCTTCACACTGTGTAATAAATTGTACATATGTGTATGTGTACATACACATCTAAGACTTTTTTTTTATAAAAGATTTACTTATTATATATACAGTGTTCTGCCTGCAGGCCGGAAGAGGGCACCAGATCTCATTATAGATGGTTGTGAGCCACCATGTGGTTGCTGGGAACTGAACTCAGGACCTCTTGAAAGAGCAACCAGTGCTCTTACCTCTGAACCATCTCTCCAGCCTCCACATCTAAGACTTAATAACACATCTGTAACATAGAGAATGAATAATATGAGCCAGGCATGTAAATAGCTGACATTATTTATGTGTGTTCTTATAATCTTAATCATCCAGCATTATAGAAAAAGCATGTTTGGCAGGTGAGATGGATTAGTGTGAAAGGTACTTCTTACCAAGCCTGAGGATCTGAGCTTGGTCCCTGGAAATTGCATGAAAGAGGGAGAGTATAAACTCTCAGATGCTGTCCTCTGACCTCCATATGCACATGCCCACACATACATCCACACACACCGCCACTCACAAAATAATTTTTTTAAAAGAAAAAAAGAGAAAGAACAGTGTCTGCCTTAACTTGAGACACCAAGCCGTTTCTTTGTTCAACTCCTCTCTCTCTGCTAAGAAAAAAAAATTGTCGTTTAAATGACTTCTGAGTTTTACTATGAAATTCAAGTCTAGATGCCAAGATAGAACAAAATGTGGGAAATAATTGACAAATATTTTAAAGGAAGAAAGTTCTCATGTTCATGACATTTTAAACAAATGTTTTCTTTCAGAATATTTAAAATGCAAAGTAGATAATACTCTTCAACATTTTGTTTTAAACCAAATACATTTTCAAAGAAGTCTCAGTATGTTTATATTTTAATGCCTTTTTCTCCATCAACTAATGCTGCTTTTTGTAGCCCAAAGCAGCTTTGGAAGAGTGTAGTGTGGTAATTGCTTTCCTCCGACAGCAACTCCCATATGCTGAAGATGTGAACATCCTTCTGTGATTGGCCCACTCAAATGTGAACATGCCCAGCGGGAAAACGAGTTCAGCTTGTTAATCATTTTGGAATATTTTTTTTTTTGTTTGTGACATTGTTAATGAGGTTGTACAGTTCCTCTCCTCATGCCTCTCAGAAATACCTAGTCAGGGTCTGATGAAGCTGTAGGATAAGACAGTTTCCTGCCCCCCCCCCCGCCCCCCGCCCCCACACTTACTCCTGTCCCTGGGCAAGGAGGCTCTTTGTCAAGTTTTGATGTCACCCCATTCCTTCAGGCCACTGTCAGCTGTGCAGTTTCCAGGCCAACTTGGCTGTTCGTGATGAACTTCTGAGACCCAGAGGCTTTGGGAATGAACTCACATTTACATCCAAACAGCTCCTTCATTAAGCTCTAACTCTGATATTCAATATATTAAATTTGTGTGTTGCACAAAGCAATAAAATTATTTCTAGCATTCTTTTAATTGTCTTTGTTCATATAATTATTAAATTAAGATTGCCACGAGTGTTTCTTCATCTGGAATGATAATTTCAAAGGTGGCATTTTATAAGCAATTTCAGAAGAGTGGAGTTTTAAGCTCAATTTTGTTAAATAGGTTCTTTTTTTTTTCTTACTGTAGGATATAGTGAAACTGAATTGAATAAATAAAGTCAAAATGAACTCATAAAATGTACAAAGTGTTGGATATTTTAAGAGAATTAAATTGAATTTTAAAGATAGTTTGAGGGAGTTCATAGCTTTCCAAGCACCAACTGTAACACTAGCCAGTGGCTAGTAAAATATTGTTACCAATTTAAGGAACTTCACTCACACTTCAGTGTGCTCTGAACAATGTTGGGACCAAACACTTCTTTCTTTTATAAGTATATATGACCCTTTTAAATGGAAAAGACAGGGTTTCTTCTCAGAAGTAGGTTTGATAATGCAAATGCTTCATATATTTTAAATTAATAAATGGACATCTTTCCCATGCACAAAGAGCAATCCAACTATGGATCCCAAACAACTGAAAAACATTGAGTTTGTCTGTTTGGGTGTTTATTGTGACAGTTCAATAAATAGTACAGAAAATAGAGTTCTATAGTTTAGTTTATATTGCAATATTCCCATTGATAATACATTTATTACAAAAGTAGATAGATTAAATTTACAGACAAAACTAAAACTATGGTCAATTTAAATGCCTATTTAAAGGGAACCTACCTCTGATGAAAGTTAATGAGGTATACAAGGTCTGTCTTCCATTATCGCTGATATGAACAGAGTTTTGACCTTCAAGGTCCTCGGGAACCTGAGATAAAATGGTGTTCTTCAAGTATGCAAGATAAGAGAACAGTTTATGTCTCCCAATTCATCTTCTGTGACCTGTCAGAAGTGGTCAATTCAGGATTATTAAGGACTCATTTTAATCTTGATTTCAATTTCCTTTCCCAGATGCATTTGCCGGAAAGCATAAGTAGCAAAGATTCCTGATAGGATTTGCAATTTGAATTTCATTCTCTCTTTCTCTTCACATTCAGGTTAAGGACTAAATCTAGAAGTCCTTGGAATTACTGCTCAACACTTTTCATTTCCAATGCCCTTTTGGCATGAAAAGAAATGGACTAGGAGACCACTAGGAGAACATGCAGCTCTCCAAGGTAAGTTGACTCAACAATCCCAGATTTCTGCTTGGAAATCAGTTATTTGTAACTTTGAGGTCACCGTGTGTGATTTTTATTAAGAATAAAAATTTTCAGCACTCGGGAGGCAGAGCCAGGCGGATCTCTGTGAGTTCGAGGCCAGCCTGGTCTCCAAAGCGAGTTCCAGGAAAAGGCGCAAAGCTACACAGAGAAACCCTGTCTCGAAAAACCAAAAAAAAAAGAATAAAATTTTTTATATTTTGCTCTAGATGTCTATGCAGCATTCCATTTGGGAACACCCAATAGGCTGGCACCCTTGCTGAAGGTCTCAGTACTTAGTGTTGCTGAATGTGGTGGTGCTGACAGTTTAAGGTGATGGGGTTATCCTCTGAAAGACCTACAGATGGCCCTTGACAATCCAGAACACAGGCGTGGGAACTTGGTCCTTTTTTCCAAGGAAGATTCCACAGCAAGTTATTTGCATTTACTGTCTAGCTTTTGTGAAAGCCCAGGGAATTGGCCTCTTCACTGTGCTGCCTCCTTCCCACTTCTGTTCTTGAGATGACCTGAGGTGCTATGATTTCACACTAAAGTAGAGAACTCTCCCTTCACCCCAGCCCTCTTTAACCAGGAATCTCCCTCCTCCAGCATCTCTTTCAGCATACCGCAGCCCTATTGCCGCACATTGAAGGACTGCCTGTCTAGTCTTCCACCTCCATAAATGAGCTACTGACTTTTGCTGAAGTTTGTGTTTGTGACTGTCCCTATGCTTGTGTGTGTCCATATTTGCACTGTGTGTGTATGTGTGTGTGTGTGTGTGTGTGTGTGTGTGTGTGTGTGTGTGTGTGTGTGTGTAATTGTCTGTTGTCTGTGTGTTTTCATCCTGGTTGCACATTGCCTTAACATTTAGAGCCATCTTTAAACTGTTGCTTATAAATTCGGGGCAGTTGTCTGTTAGCTTTGAGCACATACTCAAGCACTTTGACTAAGTATTTTCAACCTTGCTGCGGTCTTCACTCCTTTGTACCCTACCTGCTTCTCACTGGCATTTGAGCTGTTTTCCTCTGCACTGGCTTGGACTTTCTAGTACTCTCAGCGTTATTCATGTCTCCTAGTGTTCTTGTGTCCATTGTAAACTGGAGTTTGCACAAATAAACACCTACCTTACCAGTGCCTCCTGCTCTACTTAATGAAAACAAAGGCAGCAAAGAGAGCAATCTGGTAGAGCCTCTCCACTGTGCGTGAGTACCCAGCATGGCATTCCTTGATGTGGTTTGTGTATTAGCCAGGCTGCTACTGTGTTCATACGTTCATTGTCCTTTTCTGATGAGTGCCCTTGTTCCTTCAAGTAGCCTAGCCCCTTTCTAATCTCCCCAGATATCCTAAAAGTCACAATTATTTAAACAAATAAACACAAATCAAAAACAATTTCCAGACAGAAACTGAATTCTGCAGTGCGTGTCTTTCCCCAGCTATGGCTTCATCTCTCTTAAAGCCAGTGAATCAACATTACCCAAAACCACACACAAACGTCCATGGTGCCTACATGCTGTTTCATTCTTTCAGTATGGATTTTACCATCATTTTGCCATGACATAATTCTATGGGTTACACCAATAATTTCATACTGATAAATCATGTCAGTATTAATAAGTACGTGTCACATTTAAGACACTGCAGAATTTTGCAGAGTTAATATAGTCCTATTAAAACTTTTTTCTGCTGCTATTTTTCTTGACACGCCATCTTCTTGGCTTTTCTTTCCATCTCTGGCTTCTTCCTTGAAATTGTTTATGGCTTGATAATTGTATATCTCCTCAATTCTCAACCCAAATCTCTCTTCTTATTTCATATTCTCTTCCTCAGATATCCTCAGCCACACCCAGGGGTCTACATAAACTATGCTTATCTCTGTCTCATTTCTCCCTGAGTTAGGCCTGGAACTTTGAATTTCCAATTTCTTTCCTACAGAGATGTAGAAAAATCCCTTAAATGTGGGCAGATATTGTTAATGTTCATACCATAGATTACCTAATTAGTAACTCTTTCTTTCTAATACTGTTACAACTTTTTTCCTTTGTTTTATTTTTTCTGGGGGGGAGAAATAAATCCCAATATCTACACAAAACTTAATGTAAGAACAGATAAACAAAGATGCACAGTGAAGGAATGAATGAGTAGATGATAAATTCCCCTTCCTGCACCATACATCTTTACAGCCACATTCCATGGAGAGGGGCAAGCTGATTGAGAATTGCACCACTTTGATTGAATTACAGTTGAAACAAAATAAAAATAGAATAAATCTGCAATTTAGAATAACACATTTATATTCAATTCTACTCTGTTCTTGATTCTTTTCAGACTGTTTGATCTGGCATTTGAACAAGCCAGGGCAATTCGTTTCCTTGTAGATTAAGAAATATGGTGCATTGTCATTCAGCTCATTTATTAGTTCCTTTGATTACAGTTGGCTATTCTAGTTTCAGTTGAAATTGGAACGTCACTTGGTTGTACACTTGTGTCTGACCCAAACTGACTAATCATTTACATTTTGCACTATATTAAATTCTGGATTCTTGGAATTGAAAAGCTTGCCATGTCCTTGGGAGTGTGGTACTAATAAGTATATTTTTCATATTCCATACAAAGAGAAATGGTTATAAATAATATAACATTCTCTTTCCTAGGGTATTCTACAACCACTTCTTGAAGGTGGCAGGCAAACAGAATCTAAAAAAAGTTGTTCTTAAATGATGATTCATTTTAACACATTTTAAAGTTATCATTAGCTTGTGACCTGTCATTATTAAAGGAGATTAGAAACCATAAGCATTAACCACTAATCACTAATTAAAGTCACTGATGGAAGAAATTTGGGAGAAACACTGTGTATTTTTGCTTTGGAAGAAAATTCAAAAGTATGGCAAGTCTCTCATTAAGGTTCTACATTTTATCTAGTTCAGGATGACTAACACACAGATTGTGCACTCTGTATTAATTACTACTTCCGATTCAAACTTGAAAATACATCATTGCCTTTTCATTAAAGAAAGCTGGATGCCAATCCACATTAATTAAAAGAAAACACATTATCACAGGATGGGATTACAGAAAGCCCTTAAAAATTGTCACATTGATTTTGAAATAAATATTTTAACACAACCATCAATGAAATTATATTAAGTAATTAAAGACAAATTGGGAACTACAAACACTGCTCCTCATGCTGTGTAGAGTAACCATCTCTGGACACATCTAACCAGCCCCCATATGACTGTCAGAGCTTGGTATCTTCAGCCTTTCAGTCTCTCTCATGCATTCAGTATCCGGTTTCTTCCATCAAAAGCAGCAGCCACTCATGAACTTGATAGACCTGCCTATTGCTCTAGCATTCATTAAGATAATTAATGAGAACTAATTCTCTTTGGTCATACGCTATGACAAACCTTCCACTCCACACTTGCCTCACGTTTCAGTCGTACACCACAACATATCATAGATTTTATTTTGTTCTCTTTTCCTGGTGGACCAAACACCTGCTTGCAATCTATGAGCAAGTTTCATCATTTCTTGACTGAATTCCTGGTTAGTTTTCAAAAAGTTTCCAATATTGAGTAGAGTTATAGTCTGTTAATGCCAGCTCTGCCTGAGTACTGACTTCTGATGTTTCTTTAAGAACTCAGAGCAGCTGGCAGCCAATCCTACCCACAGATCATGATTGCACTGTCTGTCTCTGGAAAACCTTTATTCTTTGAGAAATAAATTTTCTGTAATTACCAAGTAGGCTCATCACATTGGATTCCTTTTTCAAGCATCTACCTAGTCATAGGTACAGTGCTATTGTCGTGTCTGACAGCCATGGACATACTGCTCCATCTTGAAGAAGTTGGGTCAGACATGAACAGAAATGAGAGAGAGGAAACAGTTGCTAATTCAAATAATATAGAAATCTCACCTTCAAAATTACTGAAGGAGAAAGCTGAGATCAGCAACCACAAACCAATGGCTGCAATGGTAACTCTCAGTTGGCCGCTTTTCCTTTACTTCCTTTTGTATGGTTTCAGTTAACACAGTTGATCATAGTCCAAACAATGAATTCCAGAGGTAAATAATTCCTAAGTTGAAACTGGGCACAGGTCTGAGTATATTGACACCTCCGGTGCAGGCCCGATCCCTCTCTGAACAATGGGAATCATCAATTGGCCATGCATCTTCAGTCTCTATGTGACCCTACCATGGGCACTTAACAGCTGTCTCCGTTACCAGATAGATGGTGGAGGGGTCGCCTCACTTGTGGTGATGTGACCCTCATGTCACAGTGTGAGAGCACTATGTCACTTTATAGCATCACAAGAAAGACGAATACAGAGAGAGAGACAGAGAGACAGAGACAGAGAGGATGTAACTTTTACAGTAGCGTGTGATTATAATTTTGTTGTATTAATTTATTGTTTTATTTATAAATCAAATTTTATAATGAGTATAAAATTTTCTAACTTTAGAAAAAATATGTAAGATTTAGTGCTATGTGATATTTTAGACATCCAGGTGTCTTGGAATGCATGCTCCATGGGCATGAGAGGCTATAGTATTACAGTTTAATGTATTGCAAAGCATGTACAATCTATGCTTTGCATCTTACACATTTAAGATAATTCCATGGACCAAGTGAAGCTCAGTCCCTTTTCCTCTTTGTCTAGTGCTAATTTTGATGACAGTGTAGCACATTAACTTAGTTTTAAACTTTAGTTTTAAACATTAGGACACAACCAGTTACTTTGAAAATCTCATGAGGCATTTAATGAGATTACACTTTCTGGGAAGGAAATACACAGCTAGATGGCTTAATTGTTTGTGAAAATTAGTGAGTGTGCAAGCACAAATGATGTCCTAGTGGTCCAGCATACTACACACCAGGCTATATACTATTACAAGGCTACCATTTTATATGGGCTTGCTCTGTGCATAGAAGGCGACTCACTGCTCAGGAACCATTTTCCTGTATACCAAATATTCCTAGATTGAAAATTTATCTTTAGAACAATAGGGTCCCACTGCCAGGAGACATCTGTAATGTGCAAGTGTCTGCATGAGGATGCAACTCAATGAAAGATGGGGGAATGTTCTGTGAGTGCTACCTGGTTATTTAACACGATCAATTTCCCGTCCTGGACTAAAGGGAAAGACAATTGATTTGCCCCACAAACATCCTCTAGAAGGCCATTGATATGATTACATTGCTCCAGAGGGAAGGCATGTGCTAATGTGTCATTTCCTAATTTTATATTTAGTTCAAGATAATTCTCTCATTATGTAACTCAACTCCAGTGGTTCTTCCATCATCTCACTCAACTGGGTGAGCACAGGATGTTAGAATGGATTTCTTGACACAGTTCAACATACAGAAAAATTTGTGAAAATACTGTTATAAGAGAAAATTAGCTTAGAAAAATTATCTCTCTTATAAATCTCATTTCTTATATGGGGTTTTCATTGAAATTTTGAGGTTTTTTCCTTTGCTCATTTTTGGTTTGCAAGGACTACTACAACACATGATTGTTTAGAGCTTCCTCATATGTTGATACAAAATGATTCTAATCAATGTTCCTGAACTATGTGTCAAAGGGTGTTGAGGGTGTATAGTTGAGTAACTACACAGACTAGAAAGATCCTGAATGAAGCAGACTCTGTGACACTGTATTTTCTGAAAATCTGGCATTGTTCCTGGACTTCTTGGTTTTATTCTCACTCATGAAATCCCCAAGACAGATGAAGAGTCTCCATGTCATGCCTGTAAATGGATGACTTGACTCACACAAGCAGTACTGAAATCTCCTTTGAACGTTCTGGCAGGAATGATCTCCTGCTAGGGAAAGATCATGAAGACAATGAGCAGCAAGGAAGAGATGGCAGAAGGTTGACATTTGTTCACTGCACTGAGCACCACTGCAGGAGTGTGACTCTGAGACTCTCAGAACTATGTCTGGAGAAGGCTTGTCTGACTTTCAGCTAAGCAGCTGGAAATCACACTAATAAGGTGACCGTCTCAAAAGACAACTATTTATTTTGAGGTTTTGAGTTATTCAAATCACAGTCCAAATGTTTTATTGTACTTTATAGCTCTTGAAAATAGCTCAACTGGAATTACTAGCTAAATTGAAAATGAGCTGTTACTAGTTTTATTTTCTCAAGGAGAAGCCACAGGCCAATTAGGAAATGCACAGGAATCACTAGCATCTAGGCATGGAGTGTGCCCCAACTCCATCAGCCTGTGTAGACATTAGATCTACCTTATATAGAGATCAATATATAAGATGTCTCAATTGAGCTCAATGATTTGATTAGCTATGGACCAGAGATCCTTTCTCTGACTCCCAAGTTCCGGAACTACAGGTAGGTATAGCCACTTGCCTGATATTTGTATGAGTGTTGAGGACTTGAACTCTGGTCCTCACTCTTGAATATCAAGCTTTTTACAAGCTGAGCCTCATCTCTCCCATTACTATACTCTCATAACTCCCTTTTTCCTTCATGACTGACTCTAACATGGTAACTTTACCATTGATACATAATTTCTCACATTGTATTTGTATTGTTTGTTTATTGCTTATTTCAGTTGGGTAATAACTTCCAAAAAGACAGAAATGTTGGATTAGGTGGAATTGTAACTCATAATATTTCACCTAGTATTCTAGTAGTTGTAGATGAGTGTGTTATTGAAGTTATACATGAGTGCCTACAACTGTTATGGAAATAGCTCTGGCTTGGGATGTCTTTCAGTGTTTGGGTACTTGTCTAGAATGTACAACACTTGGGTCTGATGCCAAGCAGTACACAAAAGCAAGAACAGAATATCAACCCTGATTTGTATACTATACTTGAAAAAACACTATTATTTTTTATAGTGAGACAAAATAGTTGGAATTAAATATACATTTTTAAAAATACTGATTTCAATATATTTTCTGGATGAAGAAAATTTAAACATTAAGAAGTGACCATTTCAGCACTCATTGGTGCTTGTGTATGTGTAATGTATGTGTTTATCATATATTTTTATATCATATATACATATACCAATCAAGCATATGTACTAACATGTGTGCATGTTTGTAAGCCATAAGAAAATAAAGTATGATTTGAACCATATTTTATTTTATCCTAAGATTAAACATGGAATTTTTTAAAGATATGTGTTTTAGACACAAATTATTATCTAATTAAGTAAAAAAACAGCTCTTTAAACTCATCTTGAGGCATAACCAGGGTATTTGATTGTTTTCTTTGGAGATATTTGCTGCATGAATGTAAAGGTAAATATATATCTTTCTTTTTCCATGTAACATTGACATTTTTCTGAAAGGTAAAATTTACTTTTGTACCAAAGGTTGTAGCATCGGTCATAACATACCCAATAATTTCTGAAAGTATCTAGCCCAAGCTTACACTGTTTTGAAATGTTGGAAATACACTTGACACTAAGTGTATAAGTATCATCTACACTCCACTCAGCACCTATGAATATGTGTATCACAATGCTGGCCACTACAAGTGGAAAGCCATTTCTCTTGGGCAATAAGTTCTTGTCCCAATGGCTTTCATTCCTTTGGAAATGTCATCTCAAGTCACTTTTAGAAATATTTATTTTCACAGACTAGTTTCTGGCGATACTATACACGCTAAAGTATGTTCAAAAGAAGTGCAAGACATTTATTTAACCCGTATTTGCTCATTCCTGTGGTGTTGAAAATAATGTCTTTTTGAGAACCAATCCAAGTTGGATGTTCATCTGTGCGTATCACATGACTGTAAGTCAAGATCTTAATTGCTCAATAAAGTGTCTGTGAGATAATAAGGTATGTGTGCAATTCTAAGAACCTCTAAATATTTCAGGTCTGATTTAACAATGGTCAAATTTGGAAATATACTCCTGTATTAGCTTTACAATGCAATTATTATATAATTAAAGCATTTTCCTTTCCTTGACTATATCTTTGTTAGTCAAGTAGATCTGCAATGGCATAGAAACACTGTGTAGACTTTGGTTAAAGGTAGAGATTGCAATGTACTTAACAAGGTTGGTCTTTAAATCTGGAGACGTCTGCACTTTAGGATGCATCAAGCAGTAATTTGTAATTGACAGTTTTCTTACCTAAAGCCTTCTCAGTCAAGAGATTGTTCTCCAAAGACAGTCAGCTGGGTAAATGTCAGAGGCTCAAAAAGTAAATTATAGGGCAAACAGCGTTGATATTTCTATGAAATGGGAGAAAGGCATATTTATTTTTAAAATATAGAATTTTATTTAAAACAAGTGAAAACCTTCTCTCTGTGACCTTTCCAAGATTCCAAACAGTGACGAATTTGGTCATTACAAATAACCTTTTCCACAAAGGACCTAAGCAGTCAGTACTTCTATTTGGTAATGTACATGAATTAGTTTCTTTTCTACAATATGACTCTTGACATTAAATTTTTATATTTTATCCCTGATAATACAGTTTTAAATAAACTTTGAAAGGGGAAACATGTATGTAAACAGCTACATGGCAATCCATTGTTTTAACTACTGTAGGGTTAATCAGTCATGCTCTTCAATATAGATGGTTCTGTTTGTGTAAGTTTGTGGGGCTTAATGCCTCCTAGTTTTGCTTGCAGATACCAGAATTTTACTGGATAGCTTCATGGAAAGCAGTTTCCAATTCAACAGTTTATTCTAAGTTTGTTGACTGGTAATTTGTTTGAAATCTAAAACTCTTCTTTACAATATGAATGTTGTGATTTTCAGATTGTTTCCCAAGTTAATCTTTACTGGTTTTAAACTCTTGGGGAATTAAAAGAGAAAGTGAATGTAATATTCATGTAGTACATAAATACTGTTTCTGATTGTTTATATAAGATAATGAATATAGATTAAATAATTGTAAAACACTGTTACCCAATCCTGAGTGATGATGGTCTTGTGTTATAACATCTGCATTGGAATACAGGCTCTAACCTCCATGGAGTCCTAGGCTACACCCCATTCTGATGCATCTGCCCAGAATGCCTTCTTCCCAATCCCTCATTTTGAATCACCAAAAACTAAAAGGACCTGGATTCCATTTTACTCATTGTGAATTCTTTGACTTCTCTGAATATGTCTGAATGGTAAGATGCACACTGAAGCTAAAAAAAAAGTTGAGGTTTTGAACTTTCTTTGGTTATGACAGGGAGTGAACTTGCTTAACTACATAAAAAGAGTCATAAACTATTTTTCCATTATGCTTAAAATTTTTTAATTAATAATTTTGTTAGATTAGAAGGTCCTGTGGAACAATCTCCATACACTGTAAACATGTATTGCTCTCCTTGTTAATAAAAAGCCGATCGGCCAATGTCTAGGCAGGATTTTTGGGGCAGAGAGAATGCTCAGAAGAAGGAAGGCTGAGTCAGGGGAGTCACCAGCCAGACAGAAAGGAAGCAGGACATGCAGGAGAGGCAAAAATCACGAGCCTCGATGCAGTACAGAGATGAATAGAAATGGGTTAATTTAAGTTGTAAGAGCTAGTTAGTAATAAGCCTGAGCTATCAGTCGATCATTATAATTAATAATGTTCTCTGAGTGGTTATTTGGGAAGCACCTGCCAAGACACAGCGTAATGTTGCCTACAACAAGGTCATGGGATTCACTGACATTTTCATGCACATAGGTCTGCTCTCTTTTGGTGGTTGCCACCCATACAGCATGTACTCCATCCTGAACATAGTCATTTACCAGGTAGTGTTTCTTCAACTTTCACTTACTCCACAGGAGTGAATGCACCTTTGATACAGTCATTTCCTGTGTTCCTTCTACCCCTCAGATGCTAGGATTAAGATTGGCCTGAAAGAGATTCCATAGTTGGTGTTTTTAGAAGAGTGAGGGAAGGAATGTATGACGGGATGCTAAAATAATGACTTAATTTAAATTTGAAGCATGCATCGCCTTAAAATGAATGTTTATATTCATTTTATCTTACACCTTGCAAAGAACAAACTAATATTTTTCATTTGAAGAATATTTTAGAGTGCTGATTAATGATTGGCAAACAAGACATTTATGATCTAAATTAGTTTTGCCTTTTCCAACTCTTCTTTCAGAGAAGAATATCTATGTGTCCTCTCATCCTGTACCTGACTAAAAGGCCACTGCTCACATTTAGGCCTCTTGTTTCCCTGCTTCACAAATCAGGAACTACAGATATTCTTCACTGGTGTGCAGGAAGATATACTGAAATAAAATACAGTGAAGGAAGGAAAGCTATTGCAAAGCCTTTTATTTACTTTGCCAAGAGAAAAATGTCTCAAAGAATAAAATTAGAACATAGCATAAACTGCATTGCAAAAGGGGATTGTTCTTACAAAGAGATGAGAGGAATCTAAATAAATCAATTCATGCCTGAGTGTGTCACGAAGGACAGGATGAGCTGCAGAGTGTTCTGGTTTGGAGGTGACGTGCTCCCCACAGGCTCCTATGGGGAGCCTGAATGTTTGGTTCCTCAGCTGGGTCTGCTAGGTAGGTAGGACCTACCTAGGATATGCCAAGGGTATATGGCTGTAGATTTTGTTTAGTTTCCAGTCTTATCTTTGTTTGATGCCTCCTTTCTACATTTTTGGAAGCTCTCAATACTAAGTGTTTTACCCAGTGCAGGAGGCCAAATGCCCAGTGCCTGAAAGCTAAAAATTCATGAGCTAAAAAGGGCAGGTATTAAATATAGAACACAAATTAAACTCAGATTAGTTACAAGTCTGAAACATTTATTTATCACCAGTTAAAAATAAGAAAGAACTCAGTGGAAGCATCTAGAATGCTTTACCCATTAGAACATGACATAAAAGTTCAAGAAAACTACCCTATGACATAGAGAAATATTCCTACAGGGATCATTTTTCTTCTGTGTGTTAATTCTTTTTTGCTTCTTCTATTTGAATCAGTTTATTCTTGTACTTTGAAATCATTCTCTAGCAGTGAGGTGTTGGGCATGTTTAGTGTCATATATTGCCTGAACAACTCAAAATGACACATAATGCCACAGTTCTAATTTTACTACACACACGTATAGTTTTTGCATGTAAAATGATTCAAACTTAAACTCTACAGGTATCAAATAGTTAGAGATATTTTATGACAATCTATTTTCTCAGTCTTCAGTGAATATTGTGTATATGTAAAGTCTAGTAAGTGAAACATTAACAAGAAAAACAAGAAAATAATGATGTTTGTCAGTCACAGATATTTTCAGAGCAAATAGCTAACAAGCAAAACCTCACACAGTTGGATTTAGAGTGGGAGTAAACAATATGTACTTCTCAATGAGAGTTAATTTTATCTCAACATATTCAGCAGATGATTGAAGTACCTACCCATCTTTAATCCCACAGACACTTCAGGGAATAAATCGTATTGTTTGTGCCTATAAAACTTACATTAGAATTAGAAAGGTTGGACATTTCTGAAATTGAGGGAACCAGCAAGTTTTGTTTTTAGTTCTATGGGTGTCTTCAGTAGTCTGTAGTCTTATCTTTTACTCTTTCAACAAAACTATGATGACTCAGTTAATAACTGATTGAACTAATCATGAGTGACACTCAAAACCAAATCACTTAGAAGTACTCCTTCAACAATTGCCTTAATGATGCTGAGGCTACCCATCAGATGTGACCTTCCTACTTAACAATTCACATCATTTTAGAATCTTTGTCTCTCACACAAAGTTTATTTTGTGGAATTATCTGTTCCCTGTCTTGGTTTTCTTACTAAATTGCAACATGCAATGATCTCATAAAAATTAACAATGTATTAGGGTAAAAACCAAAGAAGCTCATTTTACTGTTCCATTGCTGTGATGAAACATCATGACCAAGGCATCCTATTAAATGAAGAATTTGACTGAGGCTTGCTTACAGTTTCAGAGGGCTATAGTTCATGATCATCATGCTGAGGAGTATTGCAGTGGGCAGGCAGGAAATTGGAGCAGCAGCTAATTCCACATCAGATTTGCAAGTTGCAGGCAGAAAGAGTGAGATGGGATCTCAAATGGGCTTTTGAAACCTCAACGTCTACCCCAGTGACACACCTCTTCCCACGAAGCCATAACTCCTAATCCTTCCCAAATGGTTTCACCAACTGGGTGCCAATCATTCACACATACGAGGCTATTGGTGCCATTTTCAGTCAAACAACATAAAACCCATATAGGTCTGTAGCACAGCAAACTGCCGTGTAAAGGACATACACATGGTTTTGTAACTGGAAATATGCTAATTATGTAATCTTAAAGGCCACACATTTCTCCCAATTCTTCCTAAATCACATATTTCGTAATGATGCTACACGAATCCCTCTGATCATACTTGGTCTCACCTGTAAACTCACAAGTTCTTTAAAAATGAGATCCTGTATGGTAGCCAGAACATTGCCACCCTCTCCATCAAAGACATATGCATCTTAATTCTAGAATCTAGCAGTATCTTGTGTTGTCCTTGGAGCAGAAACAGGTAAGAAATTCCTTTTAATGTCTCAATAAAATCAAGAATTTATTCAATCTAGTATTGTGGATTGTTTTAGGGCATCTTTTGTTTCTCTAAGTTCATAGCCCCCATGCTCCATGCACCCAATCTTATTTTCAATACATGCAAATTTTTTATATTTTTAGTAAAATGTCCATCATAAAACAAATGCCTCCAAGGGATATGAGAACACATTTTCTGTAAGTGCTGCCTTAGATGCCCAACTTTCAACTGCCCAATTCAGGATCCATGAGTCTGCATGCCTATTTTTCTCTAAAATAGAAATAAAGTGATGGGATTACTCTCTTGTTGGCCACACTACAGGCAAAACAAAGCAAGACAATAAAACAAAAAAAAAGTCATTCTCCTCCCCACGTTCTGAATAATTTCAGAATGAATCAGATCAAGAAAATTCTAAGCCTTGGACATGTACATCATACTCAGGTAAACCAGACACAGACACAAAAAACATGTTCAGAGACCTCAAATCTGATGAACTCTGAACTGATGGATTGTGGTCAGCCTTGGGGACTTTAGAAAGATATTTTCCCAAATTTCTCCATATATGAGCTGAGAATACTTTTCAGTTTCTGAAGTAAGACGAGGAGGATGACAGAATACTGGAGACAGAACACAGTTAACTTTTATTGACAAATATCTTATTTTAAACCAGTTATTTTGAAATTATATTTATTGTTTTCTGATTTTTATAAATACAGAAAAAAGAGAAAGGACAGAGATGGAAGAAAAAAGTTAAGGATGAAAAAAAAATAAAGCAAATTGGCTGCCTAGTGAATGGAATGTGGAGGGAGTTGGGAGGGCCAAGCGGACGAATGCAGATAGGCTAGAGTAGACAAAGAAGTATTTGCTGGACTTAGGCTAATACAACAGCAAAGAGAGATCGGGATGTCACATGACCCCTCGGCTTCGTATAAAAGGAAGACCCATCACAACTGGCTGGACTCAAATGTTCAACAGAGTGAACCTCATCTCCCACTGTGTTTGCGCATGTAAGTGTTCCCATCTCAAAGGTTTCTGATGAGGCTTGTTCTTGGGAAGATCTTCTCTCTCTCTCTCTCTCTCTCTCTCTCTCTCTCTCTCTCTCTCTCTCTCTCTCTCTCTAGTAGAATGCTAAGTTTCTCTGTTGATTGACTGCCATAATCACAAAAGTACAACAAACTACCGCACCTCTCATTGACAACTTCTTGGTACTTAGAAATAGAGATGAGACAAGATTTAACAAAGAAAATAGACATGGGGCAGACAGAGAATGGAAGTTGTGACTAGTGACAGCATGGGATATCCTTCTTGTTTGGGAGAAATTAGGAGTTGGGATATAGTTAGAAAAGCTGGAAAAGAGAGTGAAAGGTGAAGATTAAAACAACAGAAGCACTCGATAGAATCCTGAGGT